AATGGACTCAACGTCTATCACTTCTCTGCTTGTAATGTTTCCAAGCCCTGTTCAAGGTGTGAGTTTTGACCCATGAAGCCTTCTATGACTCAAGATCTCAAGGAAAGTCTCTTCTCTTGTATGAACCTACTTATGCACCATGTTCATTATCTAAGGGCTTCCTCCAGGGAGGCTCAGAAGGTGACAATAAGGGAAAGGACCTTCTTAGTGGTGCCCCCGCATCACTGAACAATCTTTCTAATGAAGCCTGCCCAGCTCCTACATAGCTGTATTTTAGGTGTCCGGTTAAGACCTTCCTCTTTTCTAAGAAATTTGGCAGCATGAGATTTTAATCAGATCCTAAATTCTTATTGTTGCTTCAAATTTCTTAAGGGATATGTGTCCCTCTCAGTGTTGCTATCTGTTTATAACATAGTTTTAAGGTTCTAGTTTTTGCAAACTGCCCGGAGAACTTCAGCTGTTGGACAGTACAGTAATGAAATGAACCTATCAAAATAAGCACATATACACATATTGATTTCAACAACACCCATGTGACTATTAATATGTGCAAACTTCCATGCTCATTTCGAATTGGCCCAATGCATTTTGCTTGATGCAAAGTTTAACGTATTACAAAATGTTCACCATCAGTCTCCGTTGCTACCATGTTGTGTTTGTGAGCTGAAAACCAATGTCAGAAATGCGAAAAAGAGGTAGGGCAATTTCAGTGGCAATTTTAACTGTCTGAAGTTGCATATATATTTTAAGTATATGCTACCCTCTGGTGGCAAAAAATGAAAACTAAATAAGCCATAATAGATCTGTGATGTTGAATAATGCTGAACTAAAATAGGACTGCAGAAATAACTATTCCAGTTAATATTCAACAAATAATGATTTGTTTCTCAGCTGATTAGAAAGGCTTGGCAGAGATCATTATTATTACATTGCATTTATAGATTTTTCCCCATGCTGTAAAGAGTTTATTCCATGTGATCCTACTCATATTTATTTAAAAGTAAATTTTCTTGAATTTAATAGTCATGCTTTCAATTAACTGTCTAAACTGAAATATATTTTGTAAATTTATTTTCAAATACATGAATATGAATTCAAAACATTCCAACCATACTGAGTCTGTAAATTACTTGTTATCATATATGTGCATGCTGAAGGTCTTACTTCTATGGAACAACTATGAAGTGCTGTAGGAAAATAAAGTGGCTAGGTATTTAGATATGATATGTAAGTATTCTTTCTCCTTTATATGCAGATATTGTTTGGCCTTTAAATAGAGCTGTCACTCTGCCTTCCGTGTATGCTAATTATATCATTTTTAATTAACTTGGCAACTAGTTTTATGGAGCTTAGAACACTTTTAGAATGTGAAAGATTATTTCAAAACACTTTATTCCAGCCATTCTCAATCTAGTGCTCCCTCCAGATGTTTTGGACTCCAACTCCCAGCATTCCTAACCAGGTCAACTAATGGGGATTGAAGTCTAAAATAGCTTGAAGGCACCTGGTTGGGGAAGGCTGCTGTAGGGGCTTGCTTTTGCTCCTCTTAAAAGATTTATTACATTTATATTGTCTTTCCTCCATGGAGCCTAAGGTGGGCACATGATCCTCCTCTTCATTTTGTCCTCACAACAACCCTGTGAGGTCAGTTAGGCTAAGAGGCAGTGACTGGCCAAAAATCATCCCTGCTTGAGCTTCATGGCGGGGCCAGTGTTGAGGACAGGTGCAGTGAGGCATCAGCCAAGGGTCCATGCCCAGCAGAAGCACATGGACAGACTGCTCTGGAGTTGCTCTTCACAGGGGCAACCTGCTTGTACACCTGCCTTCTCACTCTGGTCCAGACATAGGTGGCAGTAAGGAAGAGAAGTAGATGGGACCATCTCCTTGCTTTTCAAGTGTTATATTATTGTTGCAATAAAAGCCATACAAGCTATGGAAAAAATAGGTATTTTAAAAGAAAAAATGAAAACAACTGAAGAACTTACAACGAAGAATAACCCAGTAAAAGGAAAAAAACACCTGAGATGGTAATTCCTCTCAGCCATTGGATATTCCAGCATAACTTCAAAAGCCTCGGCAGACCCATCTTAACATGGCATGTTAAGGTTGGTGCCAGGTGGGTCTCAGTGGAGAGATAATTTATAGATGGGGGGGCACCACAGAAAAAGCCCTCCCTCTTGTTACTGCCCTCTGATCCTCCCTGAGATGGAAGCCCCGGATATTGAGCAAAGTATCTGGATAAACTGCAGTTGGGAGAGGTGCTCCATCAGGCATTGTGGTTAAAACCAACACCTTGAATTAGGTTCAGTGGCTTCCGTGCAGCTACAGTTGCAAGGAAGCTCCATGGACTCCATCTCTCTTCAGTTCATGAGCCTCCTCCCATGCTCACCAATGTCTTATAAGCAAATCAGGCCAAGAGAAAGTCTGTGGACATTTGTGAAACCCCAGTTGCACAAATGGCAACCCTTTTCTGCATCACATGCAGTGGAAACAAATCACATATGTGGAAGAGGGACTCCTCTCCTGCGTGCTTGCCAGGAATTCAGACTCTCGGCCATGGGAAAGTGAGCTGGAGAGCCAAGCCCGGGGAATCCAATGGATTCTTCACTTCACATATCCCTAGAGGCAGGCCAGAACTTGTATGCTTGCATCTGTAGGTCTGGGTTATTAATCTGTTTGCCCTGTTCTTCACAAGCTGAAGTTATAAGGGGCAGCTACATGTACAGTACATTGCAGCAATCTAGTTTAGATATACCCAGAAGGCAGATTACTGAAACCTAGCTCCCCTGGTCCGGAAAGGGGTGTAGTTAAGACACCAGTCAGAGCTGGCAGAAGGAACTCCATGACACTGCAGCCACCTGAGCCTGAAGTGACAAAGATGGGCCAAGGAGAGCCCCCTAGCTATGAATTTGCACCATCCAAAGGAGTACAACCCGATCCAGAAGAGGTTGAACACCCTTCACTCTTCATGCTTGGCTGGAAAAGCCTAGAGGGTACCTTGCTACATGTGTCAGGTCCCAATCCAAGTCCCAAACTACCACAGTACACTGCCTGTTTTGTTGAAGAGTGCGTCAACAGAGAGCCAGTGTGGTGTATTGGTTAGGAGCATGGGACTGGGACTCAGGGGATCTGGGTTCTAGTCCCCGTTCAGCCATGGAGCCAACTGGGTGACTTTGGGCCAGTCACAGACTCTCAGCCCAACCTACCTCACAGGGTTGTTGTTGTGGGGATAAGACGGAAGGGGAGAATGTAAGCTGCTTTGAGCTCTTTGTAGGAAAAAGGCAGGATATAAATCGAAAAATAAACAAACAGCTGATGTGAGCAACTTGTTGGGCCTAAGAGCCGACATTTGGAAAAACCACCCGAGATGCCACCACAAATTGCAGTGGGGGATATAATGCTGATAGAGCCACTGTTCTCAATTCTTACTTTTCTCAACCCACCCAGCTGTTTTTAGCAGGATTTCCCCTCAGATTGATGGATCCGGAATGATATAACCCTACAGGCATTTAGGGTCAGGATGAACCCTTTTGAAAACAATCCCTCCCAAATCCGTGGGCTTCCACTTGCGCTGGGCCCTGCCCAGTGAGCCAGGTCAAGAGGAAGTCTATGGTTGCATAACTGGCAGCCATTGGTCTGACATGGTCTAAGGCAGTTTCCCATATGGCCCCACTGGAAGCAGAAATGATTGTGAACTCTTCTATATTTATTGAACTATTCCAAAAATAGGTCAGGGTAACTGCAGGCTCTAATTCAGTTAAAGTTGGGAGAAGGAAAGACTCAAATCTGGAATCTAAACAATTAAGTTAGTAAACAGTATTTTGCATGTAAAAGGATTACGTTTACAAGGAAGGGACAGCCAGGAGTTAGCTATGGTGGATTCCTACAAAAACCCTTGATATTCTAACACCACTCTTCCTTCTGTAGCAGTTTGTATTGTTTGACATTCTACCATGCATACTTGTTAATTGTTCCTCTCAGGAAGAGCCACTAAACAAACCAGTATTCAGCCATTTGTTTGGATAAACACAGCCACTAAATGGCATATTGCATAATTTACTTTTCATAACAATAAAGGAAATACTTTTTCCCTGCTGGTACAACTGTTCTATTCTAAGTATTTTCTCTTGTATATTACCTAATCCTGGTAGAACCCTAAACTTAACATCAGCCTTGGAGAAGGATTTGAAGAGAGCCAAGTACATTCCAATTATAATTCAATACATAGGGGAAACCCTTGATTTAATGTGCCATGACATTAGGAAAGGTTTAAACACAAAGCAGAATCCAACTATTTCTCTATTAATAAGCTAGTGCCTCTCCGCCCAATAATCAGTTACAGACAGCACTCTAACAGATCTGGGACTGGGGTTTGGCATGATCCCAGACTGAATGGGTGTGACGTTCTGATTAAGACTGCATCTTAGCATCAGTGTGAGAGACTGAAAATGGTCTCCTCCTATCCTGGTTCACATTAGTACTCCTTGTGCCATACCAGGAAAGATCTACTCCATTGTAGGTCTACCCAGCTTTTATTTTTCAGTGCAGAAGACAGGACAGCAATAGCTGCACTGAGCTCACATTCTTGAATTTGCCAGCATGGTGTGGTGGCTGGCATGCTGGACAGGGGTTCTACTCCCAGCCCCCTAGTCCTCAGCCCTTAGGCTCACTCAGTGACTTTAGGTGGGTCAGACACACTCAACATAACGTACCTCACAAGGCTGTTGTTGTGAGGACAAGCAGGAGTCACGTAAGTTACCTTGGGCTCCTAGCAAGAGGAAAAGGTGATATATAAATGCGATGCAACAATAATATCTTCTGTATTTTTGGGATGCATGAAAAGGCAAGAAGAGGTCGCTAAGATTCCAGTACAGAGAAATAGCTTGTCTATTCCAAGCTGAACTGCTGCATTTAAGAAGTTTGGGAGAGTTAAAACCAGAATCTTATAGCCAATAAAGACTCCTATGAACAAAAAACCTGTGAAGAAAATAACCCAGTAATAGAATATATAGATTTTATTGCAAGAAACATATAGAAACTGCAAGAGCCATTTGGTTCATTTACGACTTGCTTCGCTAAGTGCTGTTTTGTTAAGAGCAAGTCTGTCAAATATATGCATGTTTTACTCTACATCTTTTAACACTTCCGAGGCTGCTGAATAATGCACGTTCTTTTGGGCAGCACTGTCTTCTCCAGAGTGGGCTGTGGCTTTTGATGTGCTACTTGTGAGGCTGCTGCTGGAAACTGATGCCCAAGCTGTAAGGTTAAAAGAAAGAATCTTAATGGAAGAACAGCCAGCTACAAAACATCTGCAGTAAAACTAACCTGGCAAAAACAAAACCTATTTCTTTTGTGCTTCCTTTTTTAAGCAAAAAGAACAACCCCCCCCCCCACTCATTCCATTAAAAATCTTCCAGTTTGAAGTTCAAAGCCATTAAGAGAACCGCAAAGAAGGCAGCAGTGATAGAAGACTGTAAAAGCGAACATACTGAAAAGCAGAATTTTAATATTTAGCAAAATCCTCCAGAATTTTAATATTGAACAAAAACAAAACATAAACAAAATAAAGGACACCCACACATGCAGAACATTTAGTTCCTTTGAATAACACGGAGGAGTGAAAACAGAAGATGAGCATAGTCAGACATGTGTTTGCCTATCTGTCTACCTTCTCTCTACTTTTGGGAATGCGGATCCAATATGAAGGGATAGAAAAGTGGCATCTCCCATCCTGAGGGCAAGGTCAACAACAGGGCAGCAAGATGGCCGCCGCCGCCAGCACTCTTCCTTCCAATTTGTCTACCACCCATGTCAATCAACTATTAATTGATCTTAGCTGGATACCAGAGCCAGCAACACGTGGCACTGGCATTCACGCTCTAAAGTTGAGGCACTCCACTGCTGAATAGTCCATTTTCCATCCTTTTGGGTAAACAGTGGACAAGCTACCTATGTATCAAGAAGGCTTTCTTGTTATGCTAAACAGGATCCTGTGATGAGCCCTGCTGGGCTCACCTCAACAGATCTCACCAACATAATTACAAGGATTTATCTGCATTTTTGTCTCACAATTGACTAGTTGGTTTCATCTCCCCTATAATTCCTTAGTTTTCAAGCCAAGCACAGGTGTCAGAATCACAATACTATTCAGTGGGGCAAGGGAAAGTAACAGACAGTCATTCCAGACAACTCTCCAAGATCATAGTGATGAAACTAGTCATAGGGAAAACACATTTTCCCAGCCAAGATATTGCTGCTTGAGTGCTTACACACTGTCAGATGCCCAGAACAAAAGGTCTTCCTGCAGGAAGAAGATCAGAACCTGCACAAGCAAGTCATTTTTATGTGCTGAGTACAGACGTTGTTTGTACAGAATCGGCTTTCAGATCTGGCCAGCAGAATGAGGCCACATAGTGGGCTGTGCTACTTCAAACTGCAGGTGGTGGTGAGACTTTCTTAAAACATCTTCCATCAGTCTGACCAGCATGGCCAATGAGAAACAATCATGAAAGCTTTACCAAACCATCTGGAAGGCCCCAAAAGGTCCATCCCTGCTCCAGGTTAACACACACACACACCCCTTGTTGCAAGGAGAAAGCTGCAAAGCAGACAATGAACTCCATTACAACCATCCCTCCTTCTGAGATAGATTTTCCTGACAAGAAACATGGCCAGCTCTGCCAAAGGAACCATTTAAAAATGCTAGTCTCCAGCAGCAATCTGAAGTAGTACATTTGCCAGTATTTTAAGACTATGCCACCTCATTCTGCTGGACGTGAAGAAGAGTATCCAATTCTATGGCAGAAATGGGCAACCAGAAATGGGCTTACAAAACTTCTGCCTGTCCTAAATGCATTTAAGCCTTGAGACCAGGGCCTCATTTGTGCTCAAATTTAATTATCAACATCTCCCTTGAATCCAAGCTATTCAATTTATCCTATTACTACAGGGGTAACTTGCGCCACTGGTCAATACTGCAGCTGTGAGAACTGCTGCCAAAGTATCAGTTGTTTTCAAGCGTTGCGCATTCTGGAATGCAAATACCTTTTCCTGTCCTTCTGGGATTGCTATGAATAAAAGCCAGCCAGGAAGACAGAAGCGCAGAAGGGATTGCTAGGGAGAGAAGGAGGGCAGCAGTATTTGCTGTTTTAAGTAAAATGCCACATTAATCCCTGTCACAACATTTTAAGGCTTCAAATGGCCACATACTACGATTGCTTTGATTTATTCATACTGAGCAAGCAGGAAACATCCTGCAGAAGCCTAAGTGTACAGCTCAGCTTGAGCAGTGCCAGAATTATTACAAATCCTGTCCCAGCACGTTCTCTGTAGCTGATGAAACCACATTCCACTGCTTTTCAGGCACAGAAAGCCAAGAGCTTTTTATGCAGAATACGGGAAGGAAGAGCAATCCTAGATTCCTCCCCTCACCCATTCTTTTTGTTTTCATTCAAGATCCAGATCTGACTCAATCCATGCAATCAAATAGTTAACCATGTGTTCTTTGGGAGCATGCAGAGAAGCAGCAAACATGCTGGTTCCCACATGTAAGCCGTCCTGAGGCTATGAGATGGGACGGCATACAAATACTCTAAATACATACATACATACTTGCTGCTTCCACTTTCAAATAACAACATTCCTAGGTTAGCTCTTGGCATACAAACCAGAAAACTCTGGGTTGTTTAGGGCCTAACAATCCAGGAACAGAGCTGGGTCTTTAATTGAAAGTGGAAGTAGTGTCAGAATCCCGGAATCTCAATTTGAGAAAAGGGAATAAAACTTGGGTTTGTGGGAAAGATCAAGCATCCAGACTTTATTGTATTACCCAGGTTCCCCGCGGGTGCGTACTCACAATAATGCATTACCGGGCAGACAGAGTGAACTCTGCTGCGAAGTTTCAATACCATTACAGGGCATACACAGGTACGGGGCAATTGATGACAGAATGCAGAGATTACAATAAGATTCTGAGGTCATCACATACAGAACAGATAAAGAAATGTCAGTCAATCATACAGTAACAATGAGATTGCAATATTTCTAATTGCCTGTATTGACACTTTAGTTCAGTAGCTTGAACCCATCTCCAGGTCTGCTTAGACATGTAAATTCAAGCTACGAAAACTATGCATGAGCTCAAGACTCTTATCTAGACATTCTGAATTGGCCAGGACACATGGAGCCTCTGGGCTATCAAAAGATACTTCCTTGAATTCCAACAATGACTATTTACAATGTATATATGGACTGAATGGCCTGTCTACTGTAGCTTACAGCTAAAGGTGAGAGAAAGGAGTGGGGGATGAATGCCATTTTAAACAGTGACTTGGCTTGGTTCTGAGTACCGGATTTGATCCCAAAATTCAAGAGCACACAGAAGTAATGCTTTTCAGACAGGATTTATCCAAATTTTCCCAACAGTAGCAATCAGGTGGGAGGTAGCATACACTCTCTTTTGCACAGCCTTACCAATCACTGGGTTAAACAATCCAGGAATTGGTTGTGGTAGGTGATCCAGGTCAAAGAGTCTTCCGGCAGCTTTAAGGGTCAATAGTTTTGTAGCATAGCTTGCAACAATTATGTGTAAAGCATAATTTCCCACCTTCTGGATTAGAGCCCCCAGAGATACAAGAGGCTCTTCAGAAAATTGCATTCTACATACTGAAGGTGATGATGAAGCAGGATGGGCAGCATGCTGTCCTAATTTTCCTGTCGGAATAGGTCTACTGAGGTATCTAAGATTACACTGCGTGCTTTTCATGGCTGTTAGAATCCACTGTCTCCTTCCCTTCTATAACCATTTTCCTGCCAGTTCATGCATTAGGTGAAGCAGGCCAATGCCACAAAACCATGTGTTAAGCTGCCACAACTGATTAACATGTTCATACATATCTCTGGAAACTGTTCTTATGTGAATGAACTATATTCCTGAAAATAAACTCTTGAAGACAACTCTGTAATTTGTTCTACCACTTATGTACTTACTTTCTCCAGTGTATCTGCTAGCAAGATTCTCATGCTTTGCATTTTTATATTATTAATAGAGCTGTGAAGCAGAAAGAAAAAGAAAAGTTAGAAAAAAGACCTTGGTCTTCTAAAATGTTTCATAAATGTCTTGACTCATAGCCTAACTTAGAAGGCAATTCCTACTCTACTTAATAAGCCAACTTAGGGTCACGGTAGCTATGATATTAAGTGACTAGTCTTTATGTGCTTGGTTTTTGTTCATAAAAAGGGGCTGAAGGGGCTGCAATGTGCTTTCGGCACTAGGTTAAATTCCCTCTGCTCCATGCTATGGTCCTGCCCTACATTCCTCCTGCATGGCTAGAATTCCTTCCAAAATTGATGCATGCAAGATCCAATCATATACCACCATATTTTTCGCTCTATAGACGCACTTTTTTCCTGCTCAAAAGTAAGGGGAAGTGTCTGTGTGTCTTATACAGCGAATGTGTGTGCCCGAAGCCCAGGATGCTGCCGGCCCGCCTGCACCACATGGCACCACCTGGCCAGCATGCGCTCAGTGCACGCTGCTCCGCCCCCCCCCCCCACACAGGTGAGAGCTGTGTCGCTCAGGGGGAGCGGTACAGAGCAGCAGCAGCCACGGGCTTTAACCCGCTGGCCTCACGAAGAGACGGAATGCTCACCCCCACGGCCCGGAAGACCATCGCCGGCACGCTGCCGGCCCGGCTGCACCACACCTGGCCAGCACACGCTCGGTGCGCCCTGCTCCTCCCCCCTCCTCCGGCACAGGTGAGAGCTGTTAATCACAGGTCAGTGTGTGTTTTCAAATGGCAACCCGTCTTTTAATGAAGCCCATGGGGAAGTGATGGGGAATGTGCCTGTGATTATCAGGAAGCTTTCCATGGATCCCTTCTCTAAAAACTAGGTAAATCTTATGGTCAGGTGTGTCTTATAGAGCGAAAAATACAGTAAATATCATCTTCAGTCACTGATAGTGGCTTTGCAGAGATTGCTGGGTATCCTTTGGATTCAAAGGTACAAGAGTCATGGGAGAGGCTAAATAAATTCCCCAGTTGCTTGAATATAATCAGAGCAAGCTGAGAAAAGCACCTGGTTACATAAATCCATCTACAAATGTAGGGGTTTCTTTTTTTTACCACAGGTAAGACACAATCACAAAGGCATCAGAATGGCGAAGTACCTGTGAACTATTCCTATTTCCCCTGCTTCTATATAACTGGCTATTAAGCAGAGCTGAAATAGATCAGCATAAGCAAGAGTCCAATTCTGGAGAAGCCCTTGGGGACAACTGTTCAGTGGTGGACAGGCTGAAGCAAAAGCGGCTAGAGACAAAAATACACCCCTACCCCCCAGCATATTGCCACTTAAAATTCTCAGTGTAAATTACCAAGCCTTGTGGGGGGATTTTCCCTTTTAGCATTACAGAGTGGGAGGAAATGCCACAGAAGCTGGGAAACCACCAAATGATCAGTGGTTGGAGATAAGGATCAGTAGGAGACTTCAGAAGGCTAGACTGAGAGACCAGGATCACTGAATTTGGCCCACTGGCTTGATTACATGAGAAGCAGGCCAGGAAGCATGAAAAGTATGTCTGATTCAATCTCTTTAGCATCTTAGGGATAATTATCTCAGGACAACCCATAATGTAACTATGTCTTTTGTGGAAGTAACTAGAAAACTGTGAAGCCAGAAGATGAAGTTACAATTAAGTGACAGGTATCAGTCAACACATTTTAACATAGTTTCCAAACTTAATAGCCACTGCTTAATAGGAGAAAACTGTTTTATAGGCCTTTTGCTTACTAGTTTTGTGCAGAGGAAATGAATGACCTCAACCCACCCAGTTCCAGGAATAGTATTTGCAAGGTGAGAGGAAGACCACAAAGCTTGTTTTTGTGTGTGAGGTTTTGCCATAAATAACCACCATTTGTTTCAGAAGGAAATAAAAGAGGCATTTTTTTCAGTGCTGTTGCATCATGGGCTTCTGCTCAGACTGCCAAAGAACTTTACAACGCTTCTTTACAGCTCTCTTGGCACCTCCTTTCAAATAAGAGCAACACTTATGTACTATGTGCTTTGCCTGAAGTAGCATATAAGCCTTCGTTGAGCTGGCCCACTTCTGCTATAACATGCCACAGGGGAAGTTATAACTTATTTCCAGCACAGAGCCTATGTGTGTCTATTCAGGAGTAAGCCCCATTGAAATCAATGGGACTGGTTCCCAGATAGGCACATAAAGGAGAGCAACCTCCTTTTGAGGGAGGGAGAACACCTAATGAGAGCCTTGGGGTATTACACAGAGTGTTAGTTAGAACAGGAGATAGCCAACTTAAAACCCCAGGTTGGCCACAAAACTCATTGGGGGACATCAGGCTAGTCACTATCTCTTGCTCTGACCAGCCTCACAGGGTGACTATGTGGGGAAAAAAAGGGTGCTGCCTTGAGCAAATGAGGCTTACGTGAAATGAAAGAAACAAAATGACCAAGGTGCTTGCTGTTTTAGGCAATGGCAGTAAAAAGCTTTTGCCATTAAGACGCAGCTACTACCATTGGGATGTCATGGAAAAAGCAGCAACATTCCAGCCACTGAGGGGAATGAGACTGGTAATGAGAAAACTTTTACGTTCCAGCCTTTTCAGGAAGAGGTCAAAATTACTGGGAAATGGACTGTGACAATACAACCTTTTAAGCCTCTTCATATGTACTTCTACTTGTGAGATAACCTCAAAGGCCTCTCAGGAAATGAGATGTGAACGCATCCTACATGTTAATGTTTAAAAAACTTTGCATGCAGTAATTTCTAGTGCTGAAGGTATTCTGTTTCTCTTTTCACTTTCATATTGCCTTTGTTTGCTGCGGTATCATTGCCAACCTTACACATGAGATTCTCCATTTAATACTAACATAATATATTAAGCCTCAATAGTGCACATACCTAGTTTTCTCTTTCCCAGGGGTTTTGGAACTTTTTTCAACAGGTGCATTTTCTAGCTTCTTGGACACTCTCATGCCACCAGCTTTGACTGTAGAAAAATGCAGTGAGACTATGTCTGAAAAGTATATTTCCCCAAGTGATAAGTCTTTTTTAGGCTATGCAATTAAAACATTGCCGGCTAAACATTAGCCGGCATTTTTGCAACCAAAAATGTTGGTAAGAAATGGAATTTAAGTAATCATTTACTTCAGAGCAAGTTATTTACCGTAGAGCACAGACACTCCATTCAATACATACACACAATATATTCTCAAGAACAAGGACAGGTGGAAAGTAGGTACCCAGAAATTTGGGGTTTCAGTTCCCAACATTCCTGACCATGGGCCATGCTAGCAAGGACTTCTGAAATTGGAGTCCAAAACTCCTGGAGATCTATCTTCTGCTGACCCCTGCTCTAGAACAAGGGAAACTGCTAACACTTGAATGTAAGATACTCCATCTAACCAGTATGATTTACTAACTGGGATGCTTTACGGCTTTCTCCACAGCTCTATAGAGTTCCTTCCACAGGAGAAAACCAAAGATCAAACCTGGGGCCTCTGAAATCAAAGCAGCTGTCCCACCACTAAGGTACAGGGCTGGTACACCCAAGTTTATGGATTACCATTATTAACACTGCCTTTAATTGGATGAAGAGGGCACCCATCCATGCATGGATATGTATTGCCACATAGTACCAGTTCTGCTGTTCACACCCTGTTCATTAGCCATGCATATTCTGCCTCTTTCACACACAAAGTGACATGAAGACAGATTCCTTGTGCTTCTAACCTACACTGCTGCATTAGGGTCAAACCATAGCCATCTAGCATGGATAGGCTGGACATGCACATGGTAGGCATGTCATGAGCAGAGCCAGCTGAGGGTCAGACTAGATGGCCTGGGAGGTCCCTTCTGACTCGCTCCGTTTCTGTTTTCCCCAGGGTAAAGACAACTGGTGCAAAAGACTGGTCCAATTATGCTATACACAGTTCACTGCCTACATGTGTGTGTGGGGGATGATTATTCCTCCGCATTTGCCACAAATACCTCCCATACAGCTCAGCAATTTGTGCCTTGGGCATATAGAGCAAGTGTAAACATAGTTACTTGGGTGTATTACTGAAGGTGGAAAAACTTAACATCTACTCTTAAAAAACAGTGAACAAGCCAGAATATGGATATTGAAGGCTAAATCTTTCTCCTTTCACTGATTTACCACACCTTGATCTTTTTGGTGTTTCTGTCATCATAGTTTAAAAGATTTTCTGCAACTAGAACAGAAAGGCATGTACAAAAGTCCACATAAAATTTAGTAATCAGGAGCTCTCAGAATTCAAACAATAATTTTCTCAACTAGATGAAGCCTCCAAATTGCTGCCTCCTGTTTTCTCAGATATGAGCATCCTCTAATATGAGCACAGCCAGCAAATAGCATTGAACTGATTTACCCGAGTCTGTAGAATACTACAGTGCAGAATAATACAATGGTTTCTTCTTGTAGCGTTAGTTTGGATGTATTTGACTAATTATGTCCTGTTAACATGCCTGTCAATCACAAAATCAATTACCACCAAAGCATCATGTCACAGAAATTCATCTTTAAAAGCATGTAAAAATATTTCAGATTCATTGTCTAAACACATGGCATTTTTTGTGGCTCAAGGATATGACTACTTTTTTAAAAAGAGTGAGAAACAGGCATAAAGACCTGTATTGAAAAGGTTTTTAACCAGAAAAGTACTCTGGATACACTCTGCAAGCATGCAAGAACTTCAGTCATGTACAATGACCACAACAGGAGATAGGTTAAGTACACTTTTGATAGTGTTTTCTTTAAAAACCTAAACAAAACAGTGTTGTTTATACACTGTCATGATGTTCTGTGCAGTAACAAATGCAAAGGCAGATCCTTGTACAGAAGAAGGCCTTACCATTTAGACTTTTCAGAGGGGGAAGCTCAAGCAGAAAAATGGGTTGAACATGTTCACTTCATTTCAGTTAAGAGGGGATTCAATAAAAGGATTTATGGGATACCAGAGAAAAGGAATGCAAACTCTGTACACTCAGCGCCCAGGCTGGTGCCTTTTGGACAGCAAGTAAACCCATTTTATTTGTCCAAGCCTTTAATTAAGCATTTTAAGGTACTTCATTGGCTAGTTTATTGGTCTCTTATCCAGGTTTATGCTTTCACCTGCTGAGGTGTTAGTCTACTAAATGCAATTTTTTAATTATATATTATAAGCTTCTAACTCACCTTGAACATTTTTGTGGAAAAAGCTGGGTACAATTTTACTATGTAAGTAAATATCAGATTATTTTCTGGAGAGGTACTCCTCTCAGAAGCAGCCACTAAAAGAGATATGAGGTGGCTTTCCTCAGGCATTCAGAGGAAGGTCTGCAATGCTTGCTTTGCTTCCTGCCCCCCTCCCTCCCACATGTGGTTGGGGGTCTTGTTGAGAAACTGGCTGTTGCAGTGCTAGCCTTCCTCAGATAATGGTGCAAATAGTCAGCCATTATTTTTGTTTATATCCATTTTATTGCAAGCTTCCTTCAAGGTGGTGAGGACAGCATATTAGTCACTTGGATCCTGCAGATTAGGTTAAGGCTAAAATGTAGTGAGGGGCCCACACTTCATAGCTTGAGCAGGCATTTCAGTCTTTAACCACACTCTCACAGTACTGTTTAAAATATGCTAGTCACATTTAATTAGTAGAGGAGTGAAAATCAGTAAGTTTGCCATCCAGATGTTGTTGAAACAGTATTCCCCATCTTCCCTGAGAACTGACATGCTGGCTAGGGCTAATGGGAGCTGTAGCCCAAAACATACTCACTTGGTGGTAGGAGCAAGCACTCAATCTGCTCATGATTTTACTATCTTAATCTCTATTCACACTATTGTGGTCAAATGACTTTCAGTTTCAACGTGCTATGAAGAACTTATTTTTACTACGATCTAATCACAGAGATATTTAGCAAACCTGAAAGCCAGAGGCATCCATCAATTGTTAGCCAGGGCTAACCGAAAACCAACTTCACAACACTAAACGCAAACATGGAAGCCAGAAGTGGTCCCCGCCCCGCTCTCTAGGAATTAGGCAAGACCTTTTGGCGTGAACAAGGCACAAACAACCCCTATTAAAGCAGGGTTCTTGGGGATCTTCCAGATGGGAGAAGGCCCAGAAATGCGGGACTGCCTCTGGCAAAAACACCCTGGGAGAATGTGTGCGATCAACAGCTGTGAGCGCGCACAGACCCATGGCAGGGTCTGCCCCCTCCCCACGCGCTGCACTCTCGGTAACGCACAGCGGCCAAGCCGAAAGCCCTTTGCAGCACGGACGGTGCAGCTGCGCACGCGCCTTTGACAGACTCGCCCGCAAACACTCGCAGCGCTCGCGGGCAAGAAGCTGCAAGCCCCCACCCCGAGGAGGGGTTACGAAATGAGGAAACCTTATCTCTATCAGGATCAAAACTTGCAAGGCAGGATTTGTATAGCCCTGCGTGAAACGAAACAAAACAAATGACGCACTTGGCTTCACGTGCCGTGTGGCCTTCACACATACACACACAGCACGGGAACGATCAAAACTCCTCCTCAGAGGAGACAGACCAGAGGACCAAGTCGTAGTGCGGGACGGGCAACACAGGCCGTTACTGCACTTGGCGTGGCACCGCTGCTCCCCGCCGCTTACAGCTTCAAGTATTCTTTCCCTCGCCAATGTTACTACTGGGGGCGTTTGCCTGAAGTTCTGCCTAACAGTTATGGGACAGGTGCTGGTCTCCTGAGGATGCAATAACTGCGAATTCACACGAGTGAAGCAACCCAGCATCGTCGCCTCTCCTTCCAGCCCTGCGAAGCCCCTTCAGTTAACCCCGTCTGCTGCTGCGCGTCTCTCGCCGAGGGCAGAAGGTTGCGCCAAAGGCTTCAGGCTCTCCACCCCGACGCCCCTCGCTGCCTCCTTCTTACCTGCTGGGGAGCGCCCCACTTTCTGCGGGGAAAGCGGCTCCAACAACTCGGGGTTTGCCATGTACGCTATCACAACGCGAAATAGATTACTTACACCCCCAATTACTGAACACAACTAACTCCCAGCAGGGACAGCCTCCGTTTTACTCTTTTATTGGGAGGAGAACGAGGCGGGGCGGCGGCGCTGCGCGTTAAAAGGGGCGGAGAAAGGGAAAGGTCGGCGCTGAAAGAAATGAAGAAAAACTTGAGGAGGCTTCTAAAGGAGGGGTAGATTGTCTTCAGCGACTACGACATGCCTGCACTGGTCTGCTCGAAAGTTCTATTAAACTGGATTTTTGAACGGATAGGAATGGACAGAAACCTAGTCTTTTCAGAGATGGATTTTCTTAATTTATATAAACATTTCTATTAATTTTGTATTGTATTCCTAAAGAAGATATGTAAAATATAAAACATACAGTTATATAAATTTACCATGTTTATATAAATATAAAAGAAACGAAAAATAAAACTGTGCCCAAACCCCAATAGCCTGTGACATTTGGTTTAAAACATAGCATCCATTTGCGAGATTTTCAGACTTGGCACATTGGATGCCAGCCTGCATCTTCAAACCAGCTAAGCAGAGAAGTCTTATTGATTGCTCCCATTAAACAACTCCAGAGTGGGCCTGACAGTCACAGAATTGATACTCCATCTTAACATGACTTTTGGTAACAATGTGTGATAATTCTACAGAACTGCATTTGCAATACTTCTTGATAAAACAGCACAAATTGCAGCTTTATAGGCTTCATCACTGTGGCAAAGCAGGCTTTACTTCCCATTAAGGGACAATCTGTCCCCACCTGAAACTCAGCACCTGATTAATATCTGGTTGTGTGATATGACAAACCCATAAATTTCAGACAAGACCAACTGACCGAATTTTCTCAGAATCACTTTGGCAACACAATCAATCATCACCTTGTCTTATGCTTAATGGAATTTATATGTTGGATTAGAGCAATTTAGAGGGCAAATACACATTACGGGTTTTGACAGGTTTGGGCTAATTGAAAACCAACTTTCTGACATGTTAATGGCTGGGAAAAAGTTTACTACAGACTATTGAGATATGATCAAGGCATAGTGTGCTTAGAGTTCATCTTGCTTCAGGGCAGAAGCATGGACTGGGACCCTGCCAGTGTATGTATGCTCTGGGTTGAAAGAGGACAAGCTTCTTCCTTTTTCTTCCCCTTGTGTCTTCCTCCATTTCCTTCCATGATTTCTTTGCTTAGGTTGCTATCCTGCCTGCTGTGGTGTTCTAGAGTTCCATCACCCCTGGCATGTCCTGCAGTTGCAAAATACTTGGCTGCTTGCACTATAAAGAGACATAATTTCCTGGGTAGGATCCAGCAGTCTAGATTAACTGTAGTTGAACGTTCCTTCAACAGCTAGTCCTTTTGTTTCATACCATACCTTTTCTTTGGCCCTTGTTTTTATTAAAGCAATTTCCCTTCATGTTTTCTTTCTCTGGTATTTTTTGTAAGAAATTCTTCTGAATCTCTGTACAATTCTTTTCATGTATTTCATTTATTATTGGGAGAAGAAAGTAAGTCTTACAATTCTCTATCTGCCTCTCTGGGGAGAACAAGTAAAGGAATAATGCGGAGTCTCACTGACATGCCAAACACATGGACAACCACTACCACTTTGATGCTGCCACTCTTGAAAGTGTAATGAGATGGGGATTAGTCAACTTCCATGGTGACTGGGGATGATAGGAGCTGGACCAATGCAGAATAAAGGTGCCATGTTGAGGGAAGCTATCTTATAGCCCAGTGACTCTGTAAAAGATTCTACAGTGGGAGGCCCAAACTAGATCTTTCAAGCCTGAGAGATCCCCACTATGGTGGAAGGGCTGCCAATATCTTAAGGGATGCCTCTTGGCAATGTGCTAATTCAGTCTGTGTCAAAATGGGAACAGCTTTTGGTAATTGTCGGTAGGTTCAGACAGGTGCAAACAACATTAGGCTGAAGAATTAGAAAGCACTGCTGGAGTTCTGGAGGCATGACAATCAGAGGAGCAATTTTAAAAAAATCCAAATTGGGTAGGGGAATAAGACCCTAATACATTTATAAAGAACATATGATCCCTATTTTCATATACCTCCATGTGTGTATATTTCATGGATCATGACAAAATATAAAGCAACCTGCTTCATTCCATTCCAGGGTCTAAGATTGCCTGTATCTCTCCTGCCTGAGATTTATCTTAACTAAACATATTAGAGCTAGTGTGAAAATGGTGCATTACAGTATGAGCTAATGGAATTTAGGATACCATTCAATAAATGATAGCTTATAGTTACTACAATCCCTTTATAGTCAAAGAATAAATAATGTTCATGTTGAACACCTCCCCCCACCCTGGTGATTGCTTTCTTAATTAGAAGACATTTTACAGCTACTGATGCCCTAGCTTCCTGACAATTTTACAAGCAAAGGACTGGTCAAGATTGTTTCAGGATGATCAGATTGCTGTTTTAGGAAGAGTCCAATGGATTTAGCCAAATATGAACATGAATTTAACCTAATAACCTCAACTTACATAATTCTGTTGCCATGCCAGTACCTGTTCTGCGAGCATCATGGGGTGTTGCCATTTCTGTTCACATTCCATAAAGCTACACAGCAGCAGATTTTACAGCACATCAACACAGCCAAAGTCAACAGAGGTTGGACTGTGTGTGCCTGTGTGTGAACAGCTTATAAATCCTTTCTCCTTCCACTGGATACAGTAAAGACACCTTGTTTAAATATAGAAGGACTAGGTTATAACCTTTGCTGATGTTGCCACACATACTTTATGGGGAATTAAAACCAATGGGATCTATGTCCATAGAAGAATAAGTCCATAAGACCCATTGTCGTGTTTGTTTTTATAGGGCTAGGCTGTTTATATTTTGCAAAGATTGATTAATCCAAACTTAATTAGGTAGTCACAATGCTTTTGTTCTTCTGTACAGCAGTCCTAAGTGACCTGTACATTTGGATGCACAAGAGGAGGATGTGGACTGCTTGGTAGCCCATTTTGTGATCAATGTGCACAATCCTTTGCTCACCTGTATAGGTGCCAACTTTAATGCTGCAGCTGATACAGATCCTATATGAAACCCTGGCCCCTGCTTGGTCAAGACATCTGCTGCCTGTCCCTGCATATTTTTCAGTTTGTACAGTGCAAGGATGTGAACAGGATCCTTGGCGAAATAAGGCCAAGTGAGGAAAAGTGAATGGAGAAGTAGTAAGGACTGTGTTGAAATAAAAACCTCCCAAATGTCACAGTATTGGATCATTTCTGAAAATTTCTCTAATATTCCTTTCTTGGGAAAGCTGAAGGAGGGTTAGAAGGCGCTGGGAGGTTTCAGTGTACTTGTGGGCCCAACCTTGAGTATGGATGCTCACGATTCAGTGGTGGTCAGGAGTGCTTTCTCACAGCTGAAGCTAGTGCACCGGCTGTGCTCTTCTAGACAAATCCGATGAGGCTATGAGGCCTTATGCCTTAGTTGCCTCCCGTTTGGACTATTGTAATGCTCTCTAAATGGGGCTGCTTTTGAAAGCTGCTAAGATGTTACAAATGTCGTCACACTAGTTACAGGGAGTATGTGACTCCTTACTTTCAATGGTTGTGACCAGTCTATTTCCAGGCAGAGTTCAAAGTGCTGTTTATGACCGATAAAACCCTATGCACAGGATGGGGCCAAGTTGCCTGATAGACTACTTCTCCTATGTATATGAGTCTGCCCAGGTCCCAAGGTCTTTTGAGACCACCACCTTTAGAGGTGTGTTTGAGTTTTCTTGGTGGCCACTGTCCGGTTGTAGAAGTCCCCATTGAGGAAGACGGGGCTCATGCCACCTGTGCTGTCCTTTTGTTGGACCCTTTTATTCAAGTGGACCTTTGGGTGGGATGCTGTTTTACTCTGTTATTGTTGCATTTTAATGTATTTGTATTATTACTGTTTTATCACTTGTTCTGATTGCAAGCTGCTTTCAATGCCTTTGGTAGAAAGGAAGTATACATTTGAAATACTTTTTTTAAACAGTCAGTTATGATTGGTTTCTTTTTATATTTTTGAGGCATGGGTATCTGAAGCCAATACTTATGGGAAAAAGTGCAGTTTATATTATCTTCTGATTCTTATTTCTTCTGTAAGGAAAGGCAAGAGGAGAAACTTACAAATATTGATGACCACTCACAGGCCTCCTCTTTTGTCACAGTTTTTTTCTTGAAAAAATACTACAAAGGACAATTTCATTCTATGCAAGGGAAAAGCCCTGGTTCCTAAGAATTTAGGATATTCTCTTTCTCTGCAAAGTTTTTTTTTAGAGACGTAGACACTGGCTTTGGTCTGAGTTCAGGAATGTGTAGAGTAAGCTGGGCTTGAATGGGATAATATTCAAGTACAAGCTGGCTAATTTAGAAAAATTAATTCCATTTCTTTGTGTGACAGAAAATGCATTATAAATGCAGCATTTTCCTCTTGGGGCACTGTCACTAGTTTTTTGGGATGCATTGACCAAATTAAGCCCCTTCAAAAGCTAAGAGGGAAAAGGAACATTAAATCTGGCAAAACCCCCTTGCCCTGAATCATAAACAATACTATGGACTGTGTTGCCTAACATCACTTAAATAATATATTTATTTGTATGTTTGTATCTAAGTATACATACAAATATATATATTTGTATGTATACAGTGGTACCTTGGTTCACGAACTTAATCTGTTCCAGGACTCTGGTCGTGACCCAAATTGGTTGTGAGCCAACTTAAATATCCCCATAAGGTTCAATGCAAATAAGGTTAATCCATTCTGTAACCATTTTTTTAAATCAGAAAAATGTGAAGCAAAGTGACAAAGAACAACAAAGATTGAGGCCATCTCCCCCCGCCACCCGAGCACAAGCGGGGCCATCTCCCCATCCCCTCCAGCACGACCGAGATCGCGCCTGTCATCCCTGCACACATCTGTAATTCCAGCGTGCTGGAGGAAGGGGGGAGAGACGGGGGCAATTGTGGGCACACTGGGGGAGAGAGAGAGACAGATGCGAATGGCATGCTGGGGGAGGGAGAGGGGTGCAAACAGGGCGCACTGGAGGAGGGAGAGATGGGTGCG